CAGGCTAAAGTTACATTACAGGCAACAGTGCAGGTTAAAGTTACATTTTTCTTTATAACAGTGGGAGTTTGCTTTATGTGAACCTAGTTTGAACAGTTGGCTGCCTGTGATTGGCTGAGACTCCGCTACTTAATAGACTAGTAGGTTACAATCTGCACATCAAGTTAGGTTACAGTTCACTGTGTCTGGAGAAACTTTTGGGCCAAACTTAATTTAACAATTACCCTTTTTGGTCATCCTCTCCATTTTAGGCACTGACATCTCTGTCACCATCGTAAATGGACTTACTTGGTCTCAAATCCCACTGGGAAATAGAACAGTAGGTTTTATAAGGGGGAACAAGAAAACAACAATATTTTTTTAAAATGTAGCATTCCAAGGAGACAACTATTGTGACTGTCAGGAGGATAATACCAAGAGTTTGGAGTATGCTCCTTAGCCAGAGTCCCCATGAACCAAACCAGCTAAAATCAAAAAGATCAAAGAAAGAGCCAGATGAAGAGTACCCATTTTAACCAGTCTGTTAATCACCTGTACCAAGTCTCTGTAATGCTTGGTATATTTTCCACGTGCAGCAAGAAGTGTCAGCAATTGCATATATTCTTCCCTATTCAGCTAGTAGGTAACCTAGAGCAATTCTATTATCTAGTACAACTTTAGCAAGAGAATTTAAAGAATCTGTTATGCAGCATTAGCCTTTGCAGTAGAATCTGCTATAGAGCCTGTTGTGAATGATAATTTTCTAATCAGGGCTTCATTTACACTTACTCCAAGCATGGGAGGGAAAAAAAAAACCTAACAGATGATGCTCATCCAGAAGTGTAAATGCATTCTTACACTATTCTCTCGGACCAACTGTAGTGGACTGAAAAATGGCCCCCCAAAACTCACTGAAGCATGAATTGCGTTCCCAAGTTTTATGTATTAGAAACTTAGCCACCACTGTGACAGTGTTAAAGAGGATAGGAAATCCTATTATGGTAGTTGGAAGGTGGAGCCTTAAAGAGGTGATTAGTTTGTAGGACCATGCAGTAGTGAATGGATTAAAAATGGAGATCAAGGGCATGGTTCTGAGGGCTTTAAAAGAAGAGGAGAGTCTGTCTCTCTCTCTCTCTCTCTTTCTGCTTCCTACTTCCTACTGTCTTGCAGTGTGAGACCCCTGGGTTGNGAAATGTTGTGCAATTTGGGAACATGTACTAATAACATACTCATACAACTCAAAAAAAACAGATTAAACATCATTTCTTATTTGACAGCACTTCCCACATAATTTTATCATATCAAATAAGCATTTTAATTATCTCTCATTCACATGCTTCAGGGGCCAAATTTAGCTTGAGGTCAAAATATTTATATTGATTTTAAAATTTGATTTTGGGGAGCTTGTCAAATATGTCAAAGGTTTAAAACACTTGAGTAAAATAGGATCACAGATCACTGTAAAATAGTAATCATTCATTTAGCCAGTGATAAAAGATTTCAAAAAGAAAAAACCTTTACTGTGATAGAGAGGAGTCTTAGTTTTCCAAGTAATAAAAAAGCCTAATAGAGACAGCATGAGGCTAGAAAACCAAATTCTAGATTTGTCTTAGTATACTTTTGATATTAGTTAATTTTTAGAAAAACTTATAGTCTTTTCTAATTTTAGCCAGCCTGATTGCATACAAAATTTCCTTCAGAGCCAGCCCCATGGCTCACTTGGGAGAGTCCAGTGCTGGTAGCACCGAGGCCACAGGTTCGGATCCTATATAGGGATGGCTGGTGCAATCACTGGCTGATCATGGTGCAGACAACACCGTGCTGAGGGTTGTGATCCCCTTACCGGTCAAAACAAAAAAATTTTTTTTTCCTTCAGAAGATTCATCTTCCACAAACTTTCTACAACCTTTCCACATTCTCATTTTGAAAAAAAAAACAATCATTCTACTTTAGAACAAAAACTACCTTTTTTTCCCCCTCTTAAGCACATCTTTCATGTAAACTTTACTTACCAAAAACCTGTCTTTCCTCATGTAAGGACTGGTTTCAATAACAATATATTAGAATATTTTTAACTCTAGTAATTTTAATTTTCTAGTGAAAACCTAGGAAGTAAGCAATTAAGCAATTTAAAACTGTTTGATATTAACATTTTGTAGATGAGAACCATTTCATAGTTTCTGAGAAACATGTTTCCTCATAACACAATTTTTTCATGTTTATTAACAGACCCAAATATATTTAGCTTTGCTATACTACATAAAAACAAGATGTTGGGGGCCAGCTAGTTAGCTCAGTTGGTTAGAGTGTAACCTTGTAACACCAAGACTATGGGTTCAGATACCTGTGCCAGCCACAGAAAAAATTTTAAAAGGTGTTTAAGTATGTAATATATACCCTAAACCCATTTTTAGCGGTTAACGCTTCAGTATTTTCNCGCACCGCACTCAGCCAGTGAGCGCTGTGAGCACACCGGTCATCCCTATATAGGATCCGAACCCACGGCGGGAGCGCTGCTGCGCTCCCAGCGCCGCACTCTCTGAGTGCGCCACGGGCTCTGCCCAGGAAACACATTTTCTCATAACCTTCTACCTAGTGTGATATCATCAGCCTTCCTGCATGGGAAAGCTTCTGTACAACCAGAAAACGTGCATTGAAAATGGCAATTGAATTAAATTCCTCTATAAATGTTCAAATGATTCATCAGGTAATAGAAAAGTACCTGAAGTTTTGATTGTCAACCCATGATCATGGGTTTGACAAACCAAACATTGGTCATAACTGTTTTAGCAATTTTAGAACAGTCATCACACCAATTTTTTCACATATAATTTGGATCATTTTATCTCTTCCATGATGAGTCGTGGAATGCAAAGCTTTTAATAATGTTAATAATAATGAAGCTTTAAGGACCAAGTGGTCATCCAGGCTCTCCATGAGTCCATTCTTAGCAATTGGATTTATATCCTCCTAAAATTTTGTTTCTCCAATTCAGGTACATAGCACTGTTTGTTAAACAGGTTATTATAGGTAGTTTGACTTGGATCATGAAGT